AACAATCGATTAGCGCGCGATCGAGTGTAACCTGGTGGCCAATTGGAAACGGTATCTTCCAATGACCCGGACGAATTCGATTGATCGGATCTAATCTCAGATTCGGAAAATCGATATCGTCCCCTTCCATATTGGCGGCATCCTTCTTGGTTAATAAATCAACGAAAGATAGACCCTCTATCAATCATACACGTAAAATCTAACTTATTCAAAAGAATCTATTTTAAAAGATCTTACTTCCTGAAGAAATATGCGCATGATTATAATAACATCTTCCGTAGATCGATGTGACAAAATACGTGACAAAATAAAAGCTTCCTTTTCAAAAGAATCAAGGAAAAATCGAAAGAAAGAAGGGAGAAGATCGATTCCCAAAATTTATAACATATATCCTAAAGTTTCGAGAGAAAGAAAAAGAAAACATGGTAGAATAAAATTTCGGAGGGAACATCTGTGCCAATAATATTACGCCCCCATTTGCGATATTTTTTTCACCGTGGTGGACCGATCGGTCGATGGTCCAAAGTCGACTGTCAGGCCACGGCGGACGGGTGCTGGCGGCGTCCCGACGCCTGCGCCTCGCGCTCCCCGACTCCGTCAGACGGCGCCCCGACGCTGGTACCGTCGGACGGACCGGTCGGTCGGGCCACCAGTCAGCCTCCAGTGAGCCAGCCAACCTCTCTCTCTCCCTCTCGCTCGCTCTCTCGCGCGCACGTAGAGGCGCGCGCGCGCGCGCCGCCGCGTCCTCTCTCGCCCGCACACATACCTACATACATACGTACGTACGTACGTACGTACAAATACGTATTATACAGGGCCGCGTATACAAACACGCACACACATATACACACACGCTCGCGGCGCGCCTGTGTGCAAGTTACACGCGCGCACATGCACACGGCCCCTCGTTCTTTCTCGCTCCATCCCACCCCGCCGAACATCCCTCCTCGTCGCGCGACGATCCTGCGAGGAGAGGTCTCCATCCAGCGAACGACACGAGAGGGAGTCCGAGTTCCTGGCTCGTCCCTCGCGGCTGCAGTGCGTTCCCAAACATCCACGAGGCAAGCTCGAGGAGGCGTCCGCACGTACGCACGCACGCACGCACGCAACACCACCGACCACGTTCAAGGAACACGAGGATCCTCCTCTCCCGTCTTTTCTCCCGTCAACAGCCGACGGACGGCGCGTTCCACGTTCGCAGC